CAATATAATAAATACAAATAAAGACTCAAAATTATTCCAAAACTTCAATTCTTGATGCCCTAAACATGCTTCATATAAAATTCCATATTTGCTCTTCTTCTTCTTTCCATGATCTTCATCACCCGTGTTTTTCATTGTAAGGACTTCTTAAGGAAAACATATCAAAAGGGGATGCAGCCCATGTTTGTTGAACAAATTTTCTGAGTAATGACCTATAGCCTCAAAAGAGACTCACAATTCTATACACTCTTTATGCCTCAAAGGACTGAACGAAACCCAAAAATTGATCTAGTCTAGGTATTAGTATTACCTCCACCCTAAAAACCCAACTACAGAAAATAACCAAAAAAAAGAACTCTTCAATTTATACAAAGGCTTCTTTGCACCTCGCACCTCTAAACATTTAGTTCCACTCCCAAATAATTCACATGAATTATAGAGGAGATAAAATTCATGCTTTCCTCCTCTTCCCCACCTCCACCTCCCCTGCAATAATCCAGATGAGCACCTCCTTTCACATGTTGTTTACGTATGCAACACCAATTAACAATGACTTGCCACCTTCGAATCAAATTATCGATAGTGAAGCTCTCTTCATGGGCTACATGTCGCACACAAAAGGACACTTTGTAGGAGCCCAAACCATCAAATCCCCTCCCAAGGAAAAGTAACCCTCTATCCTTCACAAGCGTTGTTAAATGGCAACTTCAAACTACTACGTTTTAAAGATGGGCTGATGGCAAGGTTCTTAAAATCAGGATCGTAGGTGGAATCGTTGGGATGGACTCGTGGAGCATATTGTAGAATCGGATAAAAAATCGTAAAATTCTCCTTTCAATGCAAAATAAAACAAAAAATCATCATCAGTGATAATGTATGTTAAATAATTTTAAAATCATTATAGAAAAATAATAAATTTAATATGATGCATCTTCTATGTTAACATAAAGGAGTTTATAGTCATTTTTAAAAAAAAATAGATATACACATACATATACATATATAAGAAATAAATCATAAGATTTTCTTTTGGTAGGATTGGGATTGTATTAGAATCTGGATCGTAGTATGATTCTATATGATTTTATGATTAGGATCATAGTCATTTCAAGATCCTACAAAATTTAAGATCCTAGTGCAATTTAGATTGTTTGGCCCAACTAAAGTGATAGGATCATAAGATCCTACAATCTGGATTGGGATTCTGATAACCATGGCTAACGCAAAGAGTCTTGGCCTCGACCAATATCCTTCTTCTCATAAAGTGTATGCAGAAGTCCCCACAACTCCTCCAACTTACAATCTAAGAAATATCCTAAAAGACATGATCCCCCTCTTTATGAAAATACCTCACCACGATTGCCTCTTGATCTCTCACCAAATGAAAAATGGCACGGAAATTCATCTCCAACAAATTATGCTGACACAATTGGTAGTGCCAAAATTTTACCCCTTCCTGTCCACAACTTCCAAATTTCTTACCATAACCCTCTCTCCTATGACATATCAACCTAACTAATCTCTCCACAAAATTCCATATTGACCCGATACCTATGAAGCACGAGTACTCCAAAAATGGTGCCGTACTCGTACCGGGTACTTACCGGGTGCTGGTACGTGTACCGGTACGGCTGCACGCGTACCGGATACGGCAAACAGTGTCTCGGTACGTTTGGGAGAACTGGTACGGCTTGGGTACGCTGTGGGTACGCCGGGGTACGGCAGAACTATCCTTCACAAGCGTTGTTAAAAGGCAACTTCAAACTACTACGTTTTAAAGATGGGCTGATGGCAAGGTTATTAAAATCAGGATCGTAGGTGGAATCGTTGGGATGGACTCGTGGAGCAGATTGTAGAATCGGATCAAGAATCGTAAAATTGTCCTTTCAATGCAAAATAAAACAAAAAATCATCATCAGTGATAATGTATGTTAAATAATTTTAAAATCATTATAGAAAAATAATAAATTAATATGATGCATCTTCTATGTTAACATAAAGGAGTTTATAGTCATTTTAAAAAAAAAATAGATATACACATATACATACATATGTAAGAAATAAATCATAAGATTTTCTTTTGGTAGGATCGGGATTGTATTAGAATTTGGATCGTAATACGATTCGATGTGATTTTATGATTAGGATCATAGTCATTTCAAGATCCTACAAAATTTAAGATCCTAGTGCGATTTAGATTGTTTGGCCCAACTAAAGTGATAGGATCATAAGATCCTACAATCTGGATTGAGATTCTGATAACCATGGCTAACGCAAAGAATCTTGGCCTCGAACAACATCCTTCTTCTCATAAAGTGTATGCAGAAGTCCCCACAACTCCTCCAACTTACAATCTTAGAAATATCCTAAAAGACATGATCCCCCTCTTTATGAAAATACCTCGCCACGATTGCCTCTTGATCTCTCACCAAATGAAAAATGGCAGGGAAAGTCATCTCCAACAAATTATGCTGACACAATTGGTAGTGCCAAAATTTTACCCCTTCCTGTCCACAACTTCCAAATTTCTTGCGATAATCCTCTCTCCTATGACATATCAACCTAACTAATCTCTCCACGAAATTCCATATTGACCTGATACTAACCTCCTCCAGTATCTCTCGCTCATAAGCAAATCTCCAAAGCTACTTTCTTAAACAATGCTTCTTTGAAAATATACAATTTATGTATACCCTAATAACTTTTCCTAATAGGTGTACACATAGGATCACAAGCCACCAAATGATATTTGAACTACCCCATATATTTCCTAATAACAGGTTCCACTCTATCTCATTGAGTAAGTCACTAAGATGGGAATAAGGAACAAGGACATGAAGTGAGCAATATCAACAAATACTATCATGCCATTTTGAAATCTTTTAACCACACCATCTTGACTGTTTTAGAACTGAATGGGACACCAAAGGTCAAATTAGTTACAATGAAATCTCCCATCGTATTGGGAAGGATAAATGTTACCCTCTCTCTCTCTCTCCAATCAGAATAAGTTTTGACTTCCCCAAGTATAAAGTTAAACCCAACATGACCTTAAACCACAAAAGATTTTCTGGATTTGATCTACAAAAATGTGTCATCGACATATAAAAAATGGGAAACCACCATGGGTGAATCTTTCAAGGTTCCTCCATAAAACACCTGGCACTGTCTTCCTAATCCTCTTTCTGAAAGCCTAAAATAAAGATAAATGGGTATAAAGGATCCCCTTCCTAATTATCTTGTTCAAAGCCTCCAAAGCAAAATAAAAAGCAAAGGGTATAAAGGATCTCCTTGTCTAAGGCTCCAAGATGTCAAAGAAAAGCCTGTTGGTGATCCATTCACCAAGAACAAGAGCCTCACTATGGAGATGCAAAAACAAACCTATTTCCTTCATCTTTTTTAAAATTCTTTCCAACAACTATAGCAAAAACTCCCAGTTGACATGATCAAAAGCCTTCTCAATGTCTAATTTGCATAATACCTTGCTGGCCTATTTCTCATTCTTGAACCTCTTGTCTTCCCTATTCAAAGGCATTTTATGATTTTGACACCATCGAGTTGACCACCTCCTTCAACTGTATAGCCAATACTTATAACCCCCACTACTGTGGAAAATCCCAACAAGAGAAATAGTAAATCTGGAATTTCACATGGACCACATTTAGGGCATCATAGAGTGAAGTGTTGGAATGATTTGAGTCTTTATTTGTGTTTATTTTAATTAAGTTACTAGATGAATTTTATGTCATCTTAGTAGGTTTAAGTAATTAGGGATAATTTGATAATTCAAAATTCTTAGTTTGTCATAGTTCATAAGTCATAAATTGAGTCAAGTTATAATACTTGGTTTTTCTTTGGATTTCTAGTTGATCTAGAAGATTTCTAGTTACCAAATATTCTTTGTTTCTAAATTGGAGTTTTAGTCCTTGGGTAGGAGATTCTTTTGGCTTGTAAATATATGTGTAATCTCATTGTTTCAATGGAGTTGATATTATAAAGAACTGATATTTCTCTTTTGTGTGAGATTTGCTTAACTCTTGCAACGGTAAGCTGTTGGTTTTCTTCTGTGTGGACATTTGCAACTTACTATTCTCAGGTACTTCATAGACTTAGAACAAAGAACAACCCCTTTTCAACCTATAATTCTAGCCAATCAAGTTCAAAATTCAACTTGTCACCAATCTTTTCCTCTGCCCTTTGGCCACTAAATCCACACTAAAATACCGTAAAATAGCTGCTCCTAGAAAAATCTTGTGACTAATTCCAGAAGTCCTGCAACTTGCAACTTTTGAAATTCAAATCCAAACTAGCCTTTTACTCCTAGAAACCTTTTAAATTTTATTTACCCTGAAAAAACCCTAACCCTTGAAGCTTTCTATAACTAAAACCCACGACAATACCTATCATAGGCAACATTAACCCAAGTTTCTGAAAGTCACCCTACAGCAGCCGCCTCACACAAAAAACTCATAGGTCTAACTATCTAATAGCCTCCAACCCCATATTTTGTTCACTGCATATTAAGAGTACCAACAACCAGTGGTTTTAACCTTAAAGTTGGCTGTGATGGTGAACTTATGAACTGAGTTTGAATAGGTTTTCTTTCCGTTTATGAAGTAAAATGAAAGAAGTAATGCACAAGTCTTCACTACAGTCATACTATTTGGAGCCTTTTAGTTTCTATTTTCTGAAAGATATTATGATATTTTATCTTTATAGATTTAGATAAGAAGTTTTACTTATCAAGAGAACAAAGGATTGAGACCTTTCATGTCAAAAACAATTATAGGGATCTCTGTTATGATCCAGAGTTTGTCTCCTGCTCCATCTATTGTCTTCTGATTGGGGTAGATTTTCCTGTTCCTTGGAAGTTTGCTTGCATAAGAGTTTTCTTTAGGCTAAGGCTACCCATGCCTTTTTTTCTCTTAATATTTTTCTTTTTTCTGTGATTTCTATACTGTCAGAGTAGATTCAATTTTATCATTTTGAATTGCTTGCAGCTCCCACGGCTATACAATGTGTACAAGAGCATGGGAACCGTTACATCCTTTCAGAATATTTTAGACAACGTTTTTATTCCACTATTTGAAGTGACAGTTGACCCAAATTCTCATCCTCAGCTACATGTGTTCCTGATGCAGGTTTGATCAACTTGTGATGTTTTTTGCAAGCATTTCATTTATGACTATATGATAATTATTCAGCTTTTCATTGATTCAAACGGTTTATTGGTGTAATTTTTATTGTTTTGGCATGGTATTGTCTGTTACTATTTCTGACCCATTTGGATGTGTCCATGAAAAGGATTTTGTTTGATCTAATTCACATTCTTGCGTTTACAAATTTTTTTTTCCTGGTGTTTCTATTCATGATTAGTGTTTGATATCTGCTGTTTCTCTATTCTATGGTCAAGTTTGATGAGGTTTTGATTTTGGAAAAAACTTTTTGACTTGAGCACAATTGGAGAAGTATATATATATGTATATCCATGGAGAACAAGAAAGAGTTGGAAAGAAAAAATGAAAACTACACTTGTTCACAACTTATGTGTTAACAAAGGTTTAAAAGGTTAGACTTAATGACATTGGTGATCAAAGTTCCAAATGTCACTTATTCTGGGTAAACAAAGGTGTGACTTCACATTTAGGAGTGTAGTGGAAGGAATGTAGCCTCTATGCCAACAAAACCTAAGAGCTGGTACCTTCAACTTTGCCTTTCTGTAACTTGCTCGTCTAGCTTTGCTCTCCATGGAAACTATAACAAGTTATCCAACGTGATTGATTTGTCTGTCCTAAATTGTGTTTTTTAGCACAGAATGGTTGAATCCTCATTAGCTACAGAGCAAGCTTGTGAACTAGGGCTCTGCTTAGTGATCTTCCTCAGTGGGATAAAAAATTGGGTTGGTTCTTTACCTGGGCAATCGACCTGACTCTGACACTATACAACCAACCATGGGACCAACTCCGTCTTAGAAATCTAGAGGATTTGCAACTAAAAGCTCTCAAGTGGCTCAAAAGTACTGCTTCTGCTAATAGGTATTTAATCAAAGAATATGAATCTGTGGGATATAAGCATCCTTTAACTGGGCTGCATCTCGATTTGCACAGAGATAACCTGCTCTTGTATCCTTTTCCTTTGGTTCAAAACTCGGTTGTATATGACATTAATCTTTGTGGTGGATGCCTAGAATGCACCTAGCCAAGATTGTTGTTGGTGTCATCACCTCATAACTCATGTGTGATACCTTGTGCCTTAGTTGGATACTTATTCATCAGCTACTGTTTCACGTAATGATTACTAATAGCTGGGGATTCGGTTAGTAAAGGGAAGTGTTAGCAAGTTCATTGGCAGAGACCTCTTTAATTAAATCAGTAGAAACCTTGAAGTTTTGTGTGGCGTGGTCAAACTCGTATTAGGCAATGTCACAGCATCAACTGGTACAAGGAAGAGGCATGATAGCAAAGAACAATCGATGTCAATCTAGAAGCATGACCTCGGGCATGCAACCTAAAATGATAGAAAGGCACAATTAATTCACGAGATTGGAATTGTAAGGTAAATGTAAATGGATTATGTTCTAAATTAAATGTTCCTTCCACATATTTCATTTTTAATGATAGTTATGAACTTAACATGAACATCATAGCTGTAACTGTGGTGTTGCCCTACAAACCTGTGGTCAAAGTCCAGGGTTTTGAAATGATGCCCATTTTTATTCTAGAGCACTGTAATTGGTCAGTTGGAAACACATTTCTTGTTTTATTTTATCTTCTCTTCTCTTCTGTTTATCCATTATGAGAATGAAATCTAATCCATCATAGATTTTAAGGGCAAAGTGCAACATGTTAAAAAATATATGTATTATTGATTGATTGATTGTGTTATAATTTACAAATGTTGAGGTGCTGTTTATATAGGAGATGTTGAGTGTAGTAGGTGAAGTGGAGGTGGTAGTGGAGTGTAGTAGGTGAAGTGGAGGTGGTAGTGGAGTGTAGTAGGTAAGGTAAATTCTAACAGCCCCCCGCAAACTCAAGGAGGATAGGAACTAACCAACTTGAGTTTGAAGAGAGGAACAAAACAAGAAAATACATAAAAATAAACAAGAAAATACATAAAAATAAAAAAAAAGATAGGAGACACTGTATGGTCGTGTCAAACCGTTGGTGAAGACTCTGAAAGATGGTGCCATAACGGTGTAGAGGACACTGGATGGTGGTGTCATAACGGTGTAGAGGACACTGTATGGTGGTGTCATAACGGTGTAGAGGACACTGTATGGTGGTGTCATAACGGTGTAGAGGACACTGTATGGTGGTGTCATAACGGTGTAGAGGACACTGTATGGTGGTGTCATAACGGTGTAGAGGACACTGTATGGTGGTGTCATAACGGTGTAGAGGACACTGTATGGTGGTGTCATAACGGTGTAGAGGACACTGTATGCTAACCGGCCGGACATGATGGCGAGGCACGTGGGCGCCTTGGCTTGCGTGCCCGTTTGTCGGCTGGTGGCAAGTGGCGCGCGATACGCGTGGCTGCCTCGGCTATAAGACAGAGGCTGAGGCTGAGGCAAAAAAACCTGCGAGAGATATTCTGAGAGAGGTTTCTGAGAGAGATTCTGTAACACTCTGTTTTCTGAGAGAGATTTCTGAGAGAGACACTGTGGAACACTCTGGTGCCGAGAAAATGGCTTCATCGTCTTCCCGCGGGCTGCTCACCCTCTTTCCCGACCTCAACGAGTCAACGAGAGAGAGAACTGGTGCGGTGGCACTGGAAACTCAACCAAGCGCCCCGGAGTTTACGCCGTTGAACTTTCCGATGCGGTCTGTGGAGCAAAGAATGGCAGGGCAGTCAGATGTGTTACAATGATTCCTATATATAGGAGAGGGTGAGTGTGTAGTAGGTAATGAGTAGGTGAAGTGGATGTGGTAGTGGTGTAGTGGGTTAGGTTTAGTGGAGTAGGTGAAGTGGTAGTGTTGTAGTGGGTTAGGTTTAGTGGAGTAGGTGAAGTGGTAGTGTTGTAGTGGGTTAGGTTTAGTGGAGTAGGTGAAGTGGTAGTGTTGTAGTGGGTTAGGTTTAGTGGAGTAGGTGAAGTGGTAGTGTTGTAGTGGGTTAGGTTTAGTGGAGTAGGTGAAGTGGTAGTGTTGTAGTGGGTTAGGTTTAGTGGAGTAGGTGAAGTGGTAGTGTTGTAGTGGGTTAGGTTTAGTGGAGTAGGTGAAGTGGTAGTGTTGTAGTGGGTTAGGTTTAGTGGAGTAGGTGAAGTGGTAGTGGTGTAGTGGGTTAGGTTTAGTGGAGTAGGTTTAAGTGGGTGAAGTAGGTGGAGAGTATGTGGATTTAGTGGGTTAGGTTTAGTGGAGTAGGTGAGGTGGTAGTGGTGTAGTGGGTTAGGTTTAGTGGAGTAGGTTTAAGTGGGTGAAGTAGGTGGAGAGTATGTGGATTTAGTGGGTTAGGTTTAGTGGAGTAGGTTTAAGTGGGTGAAGTAGGTGGAGAGTATGTGGATTTAGTGGGTTAGGTTTAGTGGAGTAGGTTTAAGTGGGTGAAGTAGGTGGAGAGTATGTGGATTTAGTGGGTTAGGTTTAGTGGAGTAGGTTTAAGTGGGTGAAGTAGGTGGAGAGTATGTGGATTTAGTGGGTTAGGTTTAGTGGAGTAGGTTTAAGTGGGTGAAGTAGGTGGAGAGTAGGTGGTGGGTTAGGTTTAGTGGAGTAGGTTTAAGTGGGTGAAGTAGGTGGAGAGTAGGTGGTGGGTTAGGTTTAGTGGAGTAGGTTTAAGTGGGTGAAGTAGGTGGAGAGTAGGTGGTGGGTTAGGTTTAGTGGAGTAGGTTTAAGTGGGTGAAGTAGGTGGAGAGTAGGTGGTGGGTTAGGTTTAGTGGAGTAGGTGAGGTGGTAGTGGTGTAGTGGGTTAGGTTTAGTGGAGTAGGTTTAAGTGGGTGAAGTAGGTGATAGGTTTTAACAAGCACTGTAATTGGTCAGTTGGAAACACATTTCTTGTTTTATTTTATCTTCTCTTCTCTTCTGTTTATCCATTATGAGAATGAAATCTAATCCATCATAGATTTTAAGGGCAAAGTGCAACAATCATGAGACGTGAGATTTAATACAGATAGGAAATTTTTTCTTGTGTTTCAACTTTAGTATATATCAGACATGCTTCTCTATATGTAAGAAAAGCTTGTAATTTCAGATAATATAAGGATTTAATTTTTCAGCTTTTATTAGAATTGAAAAAAAGAAAAAAGAAAAAAAGGAACTCTTTTTGCTCAAAACTGTCCTGTCAATCAACTTATATTTCGATTCAAACATTTTTATTCCTACATCTTTTAGGGGTCATTTCTGAATTTAAGAACACAGGAGTAATGCTCAAATACTGTCAACTGGACTGCATTACATTGGTATCTTCCATTGGTGTCATCATGTTAAGGCTTTCAAGTTTCATGCCTCTTGAGTCTTATTTGGCAATATCGCATATTTACACACTAATAAAGTTGTGCTTGAGTTTTCTGTCCGTGACAGGTGCTAATGTGGTTATCTGGATGGCAATGCAGGTTGTGGGCTTTGACCTTGTTGATGATGAAAGCAAACCGGAAAGACGCCCCACTAAGCACATGCCAAAGCCGGCTGAATGGACAAATGAATTTAATCCTGCATACTCTTATTATGCTTATTATTGCTATGCGAACTTGTACACCCTCAATAAGGTTTGTAGAAAAATTTATTGACACTGAAATATTGTTAGTAGTTTTGGTTAGGTGATTATGTTTTTTGGGTAAAAAGTGAAACTTTACTTGTGTTAACATGTTCATGGCATTGTGTTGATTTGATGATGCAAACATGAAATGCATCAAAATTCCAACCAAACACAACCGCAGAGTAGTTGGATTCATAGTGACAGAATTCTCTATTTTTTCAAAATCTCCTCAATTTATCTTGATTTTGTTCTTAAATGAACAAATCTCATAGTCATGTCTAATATTTTAATAATTTGTACGAATACTGCCACATTTTTTCTTGAAATGTTCCAATTAGATCGTATTATCATCGAATTAGAACGTCTTTTGAAGTTTCTGAATATGTATCACTTTTCTTAGTAAAAGTTTTATATTATTCTTCTAAATTATTTGCAATATTTTCCTGAACAATACCAATTTTGAACCCTAAATTTGACGCTATAGTTGGATTAATTTGCATTAAGGCTGATGTATTGTTTGATTCACTCATTCCCCAAAGAACTTTAGAATCATTGGGCTTGGGCTTCTGTTTGAATGTATCTTGTTGTGATTTGGGCCTGGCAAATACTTGGTAAAACTTTGAATGATGTAGGCCTTGTTTGGTTTGTTTTTCAGAGAATTTTTTGGGAAAAATTCTCTATAAACAAATTTTCAAAAGTAATCAAACCAAACAAATTTTTCTAAAAAAAATCTTGAAATTTTGTTTGGTTACCTACTTTCCAAAATCACTCTCTCTCTCTCTCATACACATCAAATCAATCACTTTTTTTAAAACTCTCTCCTCAAAATAATTTTTCAAAACCATTTCTGAAAAAAGACAAACCAAACAAGTTTACGTACTTTTTATCTCAAAAACTACTCTACAAACACAAACCAAACACACCCGTAATAACTAGAGTGACCAGCTTGGTGCTTTGAATGATTGCTTTTGTTTTGTGTACTTGGTCCTTGCTGTCTGTTGTTGTCAGTTTGGGTTCGAATCAGGCTGTCATTTGATTGCCTGCTATTTGATCCCAATCAATTAACACTTTGTGAAGTCTCTTATGTTATCTGTCTCTATGAGGCTCAATGATTTGATAAAAGTCACATTCTTAAGAATTTCAATTTTTAATCGGGAAATGAAGCAGGATCAGTATGCACCAATGAGGAAAATAAAGAACTAGAGAAAAAAAATTCCGTTATAAATTTGCAGTTTTATCAGCTAGCTGACTTTCACCAGAGTAGTCGTTGGAACTTTGACTGCTGTTAACTCTAGTTTGTGATCTGGACATTCGTTTGTTGATGCTTTAAGTTTTTGAGCAAATACCTTTATGCTGAAACCCCCACCTTGTCCCTGGCCAAAACTAAAAGACCACCTTCTGCAGTTTTGTCTGCAATAAAACATTTTCAGGTTTGTGTAGTCTGAAAATAAAAAAAGCTTATTTATATTCCTCAGATATTATTGAAATCTAAACTAATTCTTAAACTAAACTATAAATTGCTGTAAAAATAGTGTGATATGAAATGTTACTATCTCCTTGACTGTCATTTTTTTAATGGTCATCTTTGTGACCGTGTGCTTTGAGAAGCACACTTACTGCTTGATGGATTGATCTACCTGTAGCTTTTGGGTTCTGTCATCCCAATGTGCAGCAAGCAATGCATACTCAAGGAAATAAAACTCAACATTTTCCCTCTCCTAAATCCTTCATCATTCTTTCATGTTTACCTAAACTTGGGTTGTCTTTACTAAGACTGTGTATGCATAACAGATGGGTTTTATTGTACTTTAAATTAGGTTGTTTTCTGAAGTTAATCAATCCAAACATACAGTTCCATCCTCCAGCATCGGTAATTTATTTCAGTTTATCTTTGCATAGTTTAGTTGCTTACTGCCATGAACGGGTGGCAGCTTAGGTAATGCACGAGCCTAATCCCATGACCACTTGATCATGTGATTATTAAACTGCAATGAATTAGTGAAATTGTTGGGTTTCTGCATGCTATTTTCCAAGTTCTAATATTACGGCATAGGATAAATTTCATTAGTGAAAGCTGATATCTTATGGAATTGGGTCACTACAGTCATACTTACCAGGAAAAAAGGGACTGCAGTCAGGAATAGCAGTATCAGATATTAGTAATAGTATTGCTGTATTATATGCTTCTTGTTGTGCTGCATATTACTTAGAACTCTCTCTCTCCACTACCATGATAGGGTCATGTAATCTATTCTGCTGCAACATAATGAAGTTGATTACTCTTTTTTTTTTTTTTTTTAAACCAGCTTCGCGAATCGAAAGGAATGCGTACAATCAGATTGCGGCCTCACTGTGGGGAGGTTCTCGTCTTAGCTGCCTTTGTCTCGCCTTTAGTTCTTTTATGGTATTTACTTTTGTCTAAAATATTTACACTCTGCACAGGCAGGTGATATAGACCATTTGGCCGCTGCTTTCCTTTTATGCCATAATATTTCTCACGGGATCAATTTGCGGAAATCTCCTGTGTTGCAGTATTTGTATTACCTTGCTCAGGTAGGTTCCTTGACTGGCTTTGCCATATTATTCTAGAGGAAATGTGTAGTCTTTCTTGTGTACTATGTGAATATTGTACAACCACAGCCCTTTGCCAGATTGAATGGGATGTTTTACTTATTGGAGCAGATCACCAATTCCATTCCACTCTAAATACTAGGCTGTTCCATATGCTTCCTCCTGTTACATTCTCTCAATAGTTTTGGATGAAAAATGGCTTTTTGACCAGTATATTCCAGACGACTTGTATGGAATCATTTTTTGTTAATTTGTGTAGCTCATAATATGACATGTTGAAGACTACTGAAGTGTCCACCTCGGCCTGTAGGGTATACGGTGGCAAGCAATTATGAATTTTGCGTGGCCCTCATTTCTTTTCTGTTCTTGGATTTTTCTTTGGTCGACTCTCTTTTGATACTTCAAAAAATTAATGAAGCATATAATCAGATGACTTAGTTTAAAAAATAATTGCTTTTAAATAATTGAGTTGCAAACAAAATATGTGCAAATCCAGCCAATGCTTTTTATCTTTTATTTGCATAGTTTTCTCCCCTTTTTAGCTCTGTAAGCTGTCTAGATACTTTGCCGCAATCTTGCAATTACTAGAGCTATGTTATTGTAATCATTTGATAATCAGTGCAGAAAATTGTAATTAGTAAAATCAATTTGATTGTGTTTTTCACAAACTTAACTATCCTTGTTTATGCATGAAAACCACTAAAAAAGATTTTTTTATTTTTTTTATAGCAATTAGTGGATTTTGCAAATAACTAATGTTAGGGTAAATTACACTGTGCACCCCTACATTTTACACCAAATCTCACTTTGGTTCCTACACATGAAATCATGATAGTAAACCCCCTACACTTTTGGTCAAATCCCATTTTGGTCTATACATATGAAATCGTGACAGTTAATTTCCTGCACTTATGAAACGTGACAATCAACTCCCTGCACTTTTAGTCAAGTATCAATGTCTTCCTTTTGTTATTCCATCGTATAAGTCTTTAACAGAAGTTAGTAATGTGACAAGCATGTGACTATAAAATGAGGGTAAAAGAAGAAAATCACTCAAATTTCCTGTCTATACATATTTCGTCCTAAAATTTACGTAAAATTTTGATTTTATTCAGTTATAATAAAACGCAAATTGTGAACGATTAAGGAGATAAACTAGGGTTTTGCAAAAATTGAAATAATAAAACTTTGTTTTTCACAGTAACAGAGTCTTTGATTTCTTTGTTGGGTTTTTTTATTTATTTCAAAAACTCTATTTTCTTACATCTTCGTCCTAATTTTCAGCGCGCGCGCACACACACACACACACAGAAACATATATATTGTGTTATATTACTCTCACATACTTATCACGTGGGACAAAGTATATATTGATGGGAAATGAGAATAATTTTTCTCTTTTCATTTCGTAGTCACAAGTTTGTTACATGATTGGATTCTATTAAAAACTTAAATAATGGAGTAACATAAGGGAAAAATTGGCACTTGACCAAAAGTGCAAGAGGTTGACTGTCATCATTTTATATCTAAGGACCAAAGTGAGATTTGACCAAAAGTATAGGGGGTTGACTGTAAAGATTTCATGTGTAGGGACCACAGTGAGATTTGGTACAAAGTGTAATTTACCCTTAATGTTAATATGTATATGTCAAATAAATGTAATATTGCCGAAAATCAATTTAATTGTGCTTTAATTAAACTTAACTATCCTTGTTTATGCATGAAAACCACAACTTTTTTTTTTTGAAAAAAAAATTAGCAATTCATGGATTGTGTAAATAATCTTATATGAAACAATTCACCATTTTTCCAATATTTATTTGTCAAATACATATAATATTGTAGAGACAACTCTGGAACATTCTCGTACAGCTATATTCTATAGCTATAAAAGAACAAATGCACAGCAAATCGGTAATGGGGGTGTTTGTTTAAGCTTTTCAGAGCCAACTTATGGCTTTTAGTTTTGAAAAAGTTATTTTGGACTGTTTGGTTAACCTTATTTCAAACAGCTTCTGATTCTAACAGCTTATTTTAACTCAAAAAAATTGATTCTGAGAAGCTGCTCACCCCTTGCTTCTGATTATCAGCTTCTGCTGTGGACATGTTAATTTATGGTTATACTCTTAAATTTTTTTATTTTTTATTTTTTTAAAAATAGAAAAAGACTCAAATGGACTATAGATTATTATTATTATTTTTTATGAGAAATGTAGACAAACAAAAAATAAAAATTAATTGAAAAAGCTATTTCACAGCATATTTAACAAACACTATTCAGCAACTTAAATTTATAATCCAACAGCTACACCAAACAGATTAACAACTTCTGATTAAAGTCTTAATCTATAATCTGTTAACCTATAATCTATAACCTGTTTTAACAGCTACACCAAACGGGGCCAATGTCTCCATGCATTTGCTAGTGTGACCAATCATTGTATTCTCTGTTCTCTTACTTTTCATAAGACTGTGATAACTTAGGCTACTACAATAAATAATGTTCCATTGGAATAGAGTTATGTTAATCTATATGTCGATTTTGGTATGGGATTTCTTTTGGGTGACCAGTTCTGTTCCAATTACAAGGTTGATGGATAATTTATCCAGTGCCTCTTTCTTCTCCTATTAAGTGTGTATGTACTTTTTTATTCTCTTACATTTGTCCTCGTATCTTCTCGTATAAGTTTCCTCGAATATAAATGATGACGAACCTCATTTTTCAGATTGGATTGGCCATGTCACCACTGAGCAATAATTCCCTTTTTCTGGATTATCACCGCAACCCATTTCTGATGTTCTTCCAGCGTGGCTTAAATGTTTCACTTTCAACTGATGATCCGCTGCAAATCCATTTAACAAAAGAACCTCTTGTGGAAGAATATAGTGTTGCAGCAAAGGTTCATTTATTCTCAATCTTTGTCATTGGTGGTAATCATGGTTTGTATCTTACGGAATCTTTATATTTCAGGTGTGGAAGCTCACTTCCTGTGACCTTTGTGAGATAGCAAGAAATTCGGTATATCAATCTGGATTCTCGCATGCAGCCAAGGTGAGAAGAGAACCTTCAAAATTTTCAAAACCCTGTCTTGATAATAACTTGCAGACATGCTACTGCTGCTGTAATTGCAAATAGGTTCCGCCTGGCATGTAATTTCTTTCTCCAAATCCCACTATTGGGTAGTGTTCCCAATAATGATGGATAAAAGAAGGATGTGAGTTATTGTTTCCACGATATATGTTGGCTACACATGCTCTATCCATCTCATATTATGCGACTCGTTAGTAAGGCAACAATGACTTGCATCATAATATATTTCCCTTGTCAAACAAAATGCTTAAAAGACAAGTTAAACTACAAACCCATGGTCCAACAATTGAGTTTAAACTTTGAGTATTAGCAATAGAATCGTGGTCAATTGAATCATATTGCAATATTCATGAAAAATAGATAACCATTCCAACATAGCGGGGTAATTAAGCCAGCCCAACAACTAAGCTAAGATGAGGGCTCAGTTGGCTGAGAGCAAATGTTGTTGCCGATGAAGGGCTATGTTACATGGGCTCTTATAAATTTATGAAATACACACGTCTACACTAGACGTTTGGGTTGCGGTATGTTAAAAAGCATGGACACTTCTGGGAAAGTAAATGTCGTGTACAACACTAACACAACACAACACTCGTCGGACACTTCCTAATACTTAGATACATGAAAGACATTACAAATTTGAATAAAATATCTTGGAATCAATGATTTAAAAAAATAGTATAAATTTATATCTATTCTCGTCCTTCCGTTTTAAAAAATTATCTTGCCGTATAATAATTATTTATCCTTGTATATGACATATAATAAATATATAAAAATACATATTTTGCACGTATTCCCATGTGTCGTGTCTTACATTTTTTAAAAAAATTTCATCATGTCACGCGTCCGTGTCCATGGTTCTTACGGGGTATGGAATGTGTCGGACATGTGTAGTTGGACATGCATCTAACAAATATGTTTAAGTGAAACTATGCATAGGACTAAAAAAAAAAAGGCCTCTTTATTAGTTTGTAAACACTATTTTACCCTGAATAAATAATATATATTTAAAAAATAACAACTTTAGCAATGTCTTGGTGTTATTGGAATGAGAATTAGATGAATATGACACTTGAAAAATACCCGTGCCTTAGTGTATGCAACATAGATGAAAAGGGTAATAGCCCTTGAAAACATCAAAAAACTCCAAAGGATGCATGTCAGATGAGGAACCAGCAGTGCTTTACAAAGCTGAAACCAGTCCTTGTGCAGCTAACATGCATCTCACCATCTAGTTTCATGTTCCATGCAATGTACGTTAGGTAATGTAGAATATGTGAAAGCTGTGATCACCTCAATATTAATCCTTGTCAAATGAGACTGCATGCTTAGTTGTGTATTCCATCAATGGAGTCACTCTTCTCATCAGTTCTGCCCCAAGAATTTTGAAGTTTGAGACCTATTTTAGTCAATATTGTCTATTGCTCACAATCAGTCCTTCTATTTGAATTGTTCTGATTCAATTGAAGTAATAAACTTAATTAGGTATACATATTTAAATTTTCTTAACCATGACCAAAGCACTGTCTTTTATTTATTTTTAAACTTTCCATTCTCTGTCTCTCTCCCCCCACTAGGCTTGAACCCTTGACCTCTGGTTTCAAATATGTGTTTGAAACCCACAGCCTCAAGGAGAGCAATTTTTATATTCAACGTATGCTATCGATAGCGTTTTAATAGTTATGTTTCATGATATTGGAGAATAAGATAGGATGGTAGATATATGGTTTTATCAAAGTTTTAGTACCGGTGTATGTATTTCATTTCTCACCATTTTCTTCAATTATATCTGGTTGTCTTTCTGATTTTGTTATCCACCAGACAAAATGAAGCCTTGCAACAAATTCTTCAATTCCTAAAATGATAAAAACAAAACAAGTAGGAAGAGATTGTTGCAACCCATTTTCTGATTTACTTTTCTGAAGTAACAAATTCAGCATTCGTTATAGTTTGACACACCAGAGACGCAAGTATCTTTAACCTGTCATGCATTATCAAGTTCCATTATTGATTTTTTCTTTTGAGGTATTTCTCTTTGCATGAATGGAGGGTAGTTTTCTTAAGCGGTTATGAAGTTAACGTTTATACAATGTTCTCCTGAATATATATTTGTATCTTTAAGAAGCTCATTTCCCATGCTTGTTGCAGCTTGTCAAACATTTGATGTCCAGTTTGAATTAATTCAGTATTCAGACTATACCAAGCATTGACATCATCTTATCAAGTAATTTTATTTGTTAATATTTTCTTCTTTAGTCGCATTGGCACGGTAGCAAATATTTCAAGAGAGGTCCTGAAGGAAACGATATTCACAAGACAAATGTACCAGATATGAGGATTTACTTCCGACATGAGGTAATAACTTCATCTAATTTATGCTGGGACCCCTGTTTGTTTGGGGTATATAGAGGGGGGATATGGGTTTTGACTGGATATAAAATCTAGCAGCGTCTACATGTTTTTTTTTTGTCTCCTTATATCCCATGTTTGGTTGCTTTGAATATAAGGGGTTCCAATATCATATCCCCAAAAGGTTGGGATATACAATACCACCCCTGCCCCCCAATGATATTGCATATCCTCCACCGCCAGATATTGGTTTATTCTTCATGTAACAGCAAAAAATAATCTCTCCTCTCTTGTTCCATGCTAATATTCTACCCTAACCAAATATATTAAAAAAGATCCCACAGTATATATAATTCATGTAATATCCTAAAGATATTATGGGCTCGTTTGGTTTGATTTTCTGAAAAAAATTTGGGAAATTTTCTCTACAAATAAGTTTTCAAAAATAACCAAACCAAACAAATTTTCCCAAAAAAATTTCCCAAAACTTGTAAACCAAACAATTCCAAACAAATCTCCTCTCTCTCACACACATCAAATCAATCACTTTTTCCAAAACTCTATCTCAAAATAATTTTCCAAAACATCTTTTAAAAAAAACCAAACCAAACATGTTTTCGTACTTTTTATCTCTAAAACACATCTCTCAAACACAAACCAAACATATGGGTGAAGTAGTGGGCTAGGTTTAGTGGAGTAGGTTTAAGTGGGTGAAGTAGGTGGAGAGTAGGTGGATTTTAACAAATACCACCCCTGCCCCCCAATGATATTGCATATCCTCCACCTCCAGATATTGGTTTATTCTTCATGTAACAGTAAAAAATAATCTCTCCTCTCTTGTTCCATGCTAATATCCTACCCTAACCAAATATATTAAAAAAGATCCCACAGTATATATAATTCATGTAATATCCTAAAGATATTATATCTCATTCTATATCCCTAAATATTGCATATCCTGCTCAATCCCATATATCAAATCCAAACAATCAAACTGAAGGGGTGAATCACCAAGCACAAGGTCCCGGGTCTAAGGATGGGCAATAGCTTAACTAGTCCATCTCCAAAGAAATTTTATTGTGGTTCTAATCTTGTTTGTGGGGACTTGTATATTTGTGAATACTTTTCAGACTAATAATATTGAGGTTTTGCAGACATGGAAAGAGGAGATGCAGTGTGTCTACTCAGGGAAGGCCAGGGTTCCCGAAGAAATAGATATTTGAGCGGAAAGAAGCATTAGAAAGAAGAAAAAGTGGTTCCGAGTACTTTTGGTGCATAGGAAAACACAATTCTTAAATCGAAGATTGTGTTGTTGATCCATGCGTGGATTAGGCTGGCCATTTTTAAGGTCATTTATTTTTGCCTACAGGTCACGTCTTCAACTCTCAGTTTTAAAGTAATGTTAGAGCTTGTGAAGAACTCTGGCTACAATCTCAGTCAAAATAATAAGACAGCCAGCCAGTGCAACATTCTTTTTAAAAAAATTTCCTGGCCGAGGAAAGTATACTCAATGAAGCAAGGCCAGTTTTGTAGTTTTTGGTCATAGAGAAGAGAACATGATCCGAATTTTCTTTAGCTGGCTACTAATTTATGGTTTTGAATGGCAGGCATTATATGACTGCAAAATAATCTGGTTTCCAGATATCAAATATATGAAACTGATTTTCAATCTGTACAAAGTAAATGAAATTTAAAAAAAATTAAAAAATTAAATCGAGGATTGGATTGACTTGTTTACTCTACGCATAATGCTTAAACGAAAGCTCAAATGGTTGGGGGTAAGGATTCATCTCCTCTCTAGAATTGTGTTTAGTTTTCAAGCTTTTTTACAAGAAAATTGTTGAAAAAATGAATTGAAAGGTAAGTGTATAACAAAAATACAAATTAAAATAAAGCTAATATATTTTATTTCTCTATTTCTTCTTTGTGATGTATTAACTGCAATTTAGGGTTCATTTTTACGATGAAGAGTTATTTAGAACGATTGTGAGAGCATTTCTCATATTGTGAGGTGGTTGACCACTGCAAGGATGATTTATAATATTTTGTGTGTAAAACTTGTTGAAATAATTTTAGTAAATTTTATTTTTATTATTTATTTTTTAATGTTTCAGCTAAGGTGAAAAAAAAATAAAGCACTTGGGTTGGAGGTTCATTTATGAAACTGTTGGATCAATAGGTCTAAGCTTAATTCTTTTTAGGCCAAGAAAGCTTAACTATCCGTTCAAAAATTTAATTATTTGTCTATCCATTCAAATATTACATATCTGCATAAATTCACTTATATGTACACGTGTTATCTATTTATCCAATTATCTATTCAAATGTGTATACGTGTCACCTATCTATACAACTACTTGTTCAAATGGCGCACTATCTATATACGTGTCATCTATTTATTTACCTATCTGTTCAATATACCTTGTATGTTCAACTCTTTGCCATTGGTTGCCGGTTACTTTTGTCGACTTGTTTGACCAATTTTCCTATGGCTTTTTTGGCGACTTTTTAACGCAAGTCATTTTTACCAAATAAAATTATCCTTAGACCTGATGCCTAATGTTACCCTGAATATGGATTTACTAATATTTTTTATTAAAAAAAAAAGAATAAAAGAAAAAGAAAAATGACCAAACCAAGACCAAACCATCACCTACAATTCCAAAAAATTTGAAACCAAACCAAACCAAACCAAGTCGTGAAAATATTGGAATAAAACCAAACTGAACTAGTAAAACGAGGTTTGGTTCGATTTGGAATCATGATATTGTGGAACATTGTCATTTAACATGATTAAAAAATATTGTTCACAACCTGCTCAAATATCAAGCAATATGTCATTATTTTATCAACAATAATAGTTTGGAGTTAATTCTATTACTATACAAGAACAAGCTTGCAATAATTGGGAATTGACAATTTATGTATAAAAATGGGATACTAATTAGATACTTGAGTGGTTACAGCAAGTAATAAATTATATATATATATATATATATATGTGTGTATCTAAACGGTCAGGTTCGATTTTATAGGATTCTATAACTATAAAATCACAGATCAACCCATTAAGTATGGTTTGTGTATTTCAAGAATCAAGACCAAATTGTACATTGAGAAACTAAATCAAACCATGCAAGTTAGTCTACATCGGACCAGTTTACGATTTTTTTTATTTTCTTACTTCGCCCTACACTGTCCAAATAATGATAAATTGATCTTGCATTGCAAGCCTAACATTATACCAGAGCACATTGATGAAAGCATTTTGGGAAATCAAATCGGCAAATTCACTCTAATGATAGAGTCCACATATAGTATCTTTAAAAAATTAAATTAAATTAAATTGCGTTTGCATCATTTTAGCATCATGATTAAATTATACTATTTTAACATTATAGATGATATAATTATTTTTCAAAAAACCATAAAAGGCTCATCAACAACTATAGTACATTATAACATGAAAGAGTGAGAGTATTTAAAATGCAACATTCAACCAAAAGAGAGTGTTTTGGATTGGGTATTGGTGACCACCGGGGGTGGTGGCCTAGTGGAGAAGGCATCATTTTCCACAAGTATGCTGGTCCTTCCAGTGGCCACTTCGATGACCTCGCTCTGTACTCCGATCAAAACCTGAGCTCGTTTGTGCCGTATGGTTGAGCTCTTCTAGTGCCTTAGTAGTGGGTCCTTTCCTATGGGTTGGGTTAAATCAGGCTGGCAACTGGCTATCCCGGGGCCTGGGCCCACGGATGTCGTGATGACATTTCAGAGCATCCTTTTTCTTCGATCAAAAAAAAAAAAAAACAGATTGGGAATTGGTAGGAGGTAGGAGTGTTCAGTGGATATTTCGATCCATCCAAACCGATCGAACCGAACCGATTCGCCGCATTTTGGACAGATGCATGACAACGAACGGATAGTTGCGGATTGATTTTTTTCAATCCGCCTAATTTTGGACAGATTGCGGATTTGAGGTTCCTTTGGCTGCAACCGAACCGCCAAATTGCGAGCACCCCTAATAATTCATAAGACTTTGTGTTTTTAATTTGCTTAGATATTATATTTGTGTTTTCAATTGAAAAAGAGTTTAGATATTCTGTTATGTTTTCAATTTGTTTTCAATTTAGAAATCTTTTTATCAAATGTAAGGGTTGATATTTAGAATTTTTGTGTGAAAAATATAAAGCTTAATTTTGTCTTTTTTTATAAAAAAAAATCAAATTAAATAATGTTTTAATATTAAAAAAAAGTAATGAAATAGTTTTGATAATGCATGATTTTCTTATATGTATTTATTATTAGTATTTAACAATTAACTTAATAATTTTTTGATTATGTTGAGTTGGATTATTATCCAAAAAAAAATATTGACAAGTTATATTATATTCAAAGTTTGTAAAAATTTAAATCACCAAACAGATTCGCGTCCATCTGTCAATCCGTTAATCCACTCAATCCGCATCCGTCAATTCGGCAAACAGATGTAAATTAATTTTTTTCAATCCATCCATCCGGCAGACAGATGACAGATTAAAAATTTTCTGGCCGCAATTAAATCACAAACACTCCTATTTATAATGTATTTTTTATTATTTTTTAGTCAACTAAATGTAAAAACAAAGATTTTGATGGAATAATTCTATTTGACTTCATTACATAATCAACATTACTACTCAAGCTCAAATTGTGAGAAGTGTGGCCAAAAAAAGATTGAACCCAAACTCAAATTAAATTTAGGCCTAGTTTGGGAAGACTAAATAAGTGTACTTTTTGACTTTTTATGAAATATGGGTTGGGTTTGGGTTGGGTTTGAAGTGATGTGTTAGAGAGGTGATGTGACTTAAATAAGATGATGTGACTTAAATAGGATAGTGACTTTTTAAACAGTATTCTTAAAACAAATTCATCGCCTTACCGGTTGGGTGTTGGAGGTTCTTTGACATATGTGTCTCAGGATGCGACGGTTAGACCAGCTGTAGCCAAGCACCTACGGTGTAGTTTCGGCAAACAGAACTCAGACAACACTCTCACTCAGAAGAATAGAAAAGTTGGAGGAAACAAAAACAACTCAGGAACACAAATTTTCTGGTCTTTAAGAATGAAGGAAAAAGGGTCTCTTTTTATACACATGGAATGAGAGAGAAAAAGGCTCCTGCCATCAAGGCCCATCACAAATGCAAAAATCAATTCTGTATTTACCTGCAAAATTGATGGATTAAAGTCTATCATGAATAGAGGAGTTACCAGCTCTATTATACACATGTGTTTTGTGTATATATTCTTGCAGCCCACAAATCTGATATCCAATTTGCATTGCTATAGCCTTCTATTACTGCTGGATATCTGGTGTAATGCAGCCCATATTCCTAGGTAAAACGGAGATACCTTAACACCCAAATGATACCCTTCCAGTGAGTGGCATCAGAATTGCTCGTGTATCTACTAAGCCTACTAACAGAGTAGGCTATATCCGGCCTTGTACAACTCATCAAATACATCAAACTCCCAATGACCCGAGAATATTCTAGCTAAGAGACACTTTTACCATTATTCTTGGTCAAGTGTAGACTTAAGTCTATCGGTGTTCTAGACACACTTGTATCCGATTTACCAAATTTCTTAAGTATTTTCTCAACATAATGAGATTGAGAAAGTACAATACCATCAGATGTTCTGGTAATCTTAACACCTAGAATTACATCTGTAAGGCCCATATCTTTCATGTCAAACTTAGAGTTTAATAATCTCTTGGTAGTTCTAATCATCTCACTGTTACTACCAACAATGAGTATGTCATCAATGTATAGACACAAAAAAACATAGCCTCTGTCAGTGTCTTTGACATATATGCATTTGTCACACTTATTGATTTTGAACCCATTTGACAACATAGCGTTGTCAAACTTCTCATGCCATTTCTTAGAAGCTTGCTTTAAACCATACAATGATTTAATAAGCTTATAGACTTTCTTATTTTGTTCTGGAGTTGAAAACCCCTTGGGTTGCTCCATGCAGATTTTTTCATATAAATGTCCATTTAAGAAAGTTGTCTTTAGATCTATCTCATGTATCTCCAGACCATGTAAAGTTGTTATCGCAATCACTATGCGAATGGGTGTAATCCTTGTCACAGGTGAATACGTACACTGCTTATATCCTTTGATAACTAGTCTAGCTTTATACTTATCAATTGATCCATCCGTTTTCATTTTCTTTCTAAAGATCCACTTCCTCCTTAAGGCCTTACAGCCTGGGGGTAGATCAATCAACTCTCAAGTATTGTTCTGTAAGATGGAGTCAATCTCACTTTTAATTGCTTCTTTCCACAAAGGACTTTCAGGTGAAGTCACGGCTTCATGGAAAGTTCGAGATTCTCCCTTTAACAAATAAGTCAAGAAGTCTGGACTAAAGGACTTTGATGTCCTACCCCTTTTACTCCTTCTTGGCTCATCTATTTCTTTAGCTTGATCATCAACTTGATCATCTATGTGATCATCTACGATATTGAAAAATAGTCAACCCTAACTTACTAATTTTATATATTGCTTGAGTTGTGTCGAAAATTCTCATCCTTACCCCCAATTAATTTTATTTCTTATAGCATTGATTAGCTAAAAAATAAAGATTTGATTCAACTAATTGAAGTTCAACTATTTTATATATATATATATATATATGTATATTTGTTATCTAAATT